CCGGGCAGACGCCACACGTACCATAGTTCTCGGAGGAGGACACGTAGGTGAGGATGAGCAGGGCGACGTTCTCCAGCAGGTTGAGCAGCAGGGTGCAGTGGCACAGGCGCAGGTAGCGGGGGTGGGAGCAGTGGCAGCTCTGGTAGTGGTTCCAGTAGGCCACGGCCACGAGGAAGCGGGGGGCCGAGTGCAGGCCGATGCACAGGCGCCACACGTAGCGCTGGGGGGTCTCGCCCCCGATGGCCGCGCTGATGGACGGCAGGTAGTTGGGCACCTGCGCGGAGACAGCGGCTGGGGGCGCACGGGCGGGGGGCACGAGCTCTCCCAGGGGCTAAAACGGCCTCTTTTCAGTCCTAAATAAGTTTATTCCTGTTTCCGAAGCCAGGGAATGTCACCCCGCAGGGCCAGGAGGGCCCCAGTCCTGCTGGGACAGTCCTGGGTGCTGGGGGGGCCTCCCAGGGGGTCTCGGCTTTACACCTTTGATCTTTCACAGAATCCCAGAAGGTTTGGGTGGGAGGGACCTTAAAGCCCATCCAGTGCCCACCCCCTGCCACGGGCAGGGACACCTTCCACCAGCCCAGGTTGCTCCAAGCCCCGTCCAACCTGGCCTTGGACACTTCCAGGGATCCAGGGGCAGCCACAGCTTCTCTGGGCAACCTGGGCCAGGGCCTCCCCACCCTCACAGGGAAGAATTCTTTCTCCATATGTCATCTAACCCTGCCCTGTCTCCATGGGAAGCCACTCCCCGTTGTCCTATTGCAACAGGCCCTGCTAAAGTTCTGCTGGAGTGAGGTGACTCCTGCCCTCGGTTCCCAGCTCAGATCCAGCTGCTCATCCAGCAGCTTGAAAGCTCTGGGGAGGAACCCAACCTCATCCCATTTGGAACTCCAGGCTATCCCTCCCCAGGCACGAGCCTGTGACTCCTCTGAACTCCAGTACATCTGGGGGGCAGCAGTTCTGGACCAGCCCTTCTACAGGACAATGGACTTCCCTGCAGCTTCCCCACCGTTTTCATCACCACAATCACCCCAACGAGCCCAGCACAGACACCAGCCTGACCAGTCTGTACTTCCCTTGGTCCCATCACAAAGGCAAACCCAGTCCCAGGGATCATAAGGACAGTGGAATAAAGTGGCTTGTTCTGGGTTCTGCAACATTGCTGGTGGGAAAACCCAGGAGGAGGAAAGGAGCCCAGGAGGGGAGGGAGAGATGGGGGAGCCCAGGACAGAGACGGGAAGAGCAGCCCAGGAGGAGGGAAGGAAAGGGAGGAGCCCAGGAGGAGAGGGAAGCCCAGGAGGACACAGGAGCTCTGTCTCCCCTCTGGGTGCCCCAGCCCCAGAGGAATCTGGGTTTTTCTGATGGGAATCTCTCACCCCACAGTGGGTCGCCGTTGTCTCACGGAAATGGAAGAGCAGGGACCAGATCACACAGAAGAGGAACCCAAAGAGGGGGCAGAACACAGTGCCCAGGGCCAGCGTGGTGAAACGCAGCCGGAACAGGATCCCATCCCGGTCCAGGGGCAGCGGGATCTGCAGCATCTTGGGGAACCTGAGAACAAACAAACAAACGCTTGATGGGGATTCTCTGTCCTCCTGCTCTGGGTGACAACGTGGGGATTGGCCTCCACAGCCTGGGAGGGCTTTTCCAACCTCAGTGACTCTGGGATTCTGTCCAGTCCCACAGGGGCGTGGATGGACACAGGGATCAAGCCCCTCACATATCCCAGGGCAGGGATGGACGCACTGATGAGCCCCTCACACCCTGGGGGACCCACACAAACAGGGATGGACACACAGATCAGCCCCTCACACCCTGGCTGACCCCACACAGCCCCAGGATGGGCAGCACAGATGGGCAGCCAAAGAAAATCCCATTGTGGGGACACAGGAACCCCAAGACTCACAGCTAACACGGAGCAGGGGCAGAGGGACCTGCAGGCAGTGGGATGTCCCTGCAGCCCTCCAGACTGATCTGGCTGAAGGACACGTGAGCCCTTTCCCGCGGGATCCATCCAGACCGTTCCCTGGCTCGGAGCACGGGGCACAGCTGACGTTGTGAGGCCACTGCCGGGAGCTGCAGCTCCTCCAGCACATCCCAAACAGCCACAGCCCACCCTCACCCTGCTGCACTTCCCTGCTCCCAGCACCTGCACGGACAGCACTGTCCATATCCAGCGCCAGGGAGGGTTGGGATGGATCTCAGGGAAAAGTTCTTCCCCCAGAGCGTGGTTGGGCACTGACCAGGCTCCCCAGGGCAGTGGGCACGGCCCCAAGGCTGCCAGAGCTCCAGAGCTGTTGTCCAGCTCCAGCACTGGACAACACTCTGAGGGACAGGGGGGAGTGTTGGGGTGTCCTGGGCAGGGGTGAAGGTTGGACTGGAGGATCCTCGAGGATCCCTCCCAGCTCAGGAAATTCCATGTTTGTACAGCCCTGCAGCTGCAGGATCAGGGCATCACGAGCCCCCCCACAAGGCCATTGCTCATGGGGTCGGGCACAGCAGGACAGGCACCTCCTGAGCCCGGCAGCCCCCCCATCCCCGAGGTCCCCACTGTGCCCCAGGGATCAGCCGGGGCCGATCCCCCCTCCCCGCCCGGGACAAATCGGATTTACACAATCCCTGGGCAGCACAACCCCCCTCCCACGGCACAGAGACCCCCGGAAGGGACCCCCCAGCACCGAGGGGCCACGGGAAGCCGAGCTCAGCCCCACCCCGGGGGATTATTCGCAGGATGGAGGCAAAGGGAAGCCCCAAAGGGCTGCAGGTGGAGGGGGACCCCCGGCCAGCCCAGGGTGCCCTCCCCAGGACCATCCCAGCAGCGACCCCCAACCCTGACCCACGGCGCGGGGATGGAGCCCCCCAAGCCCTGCACTGCCCCCGGCCGTGGGGACACAGCTCACTGTGCCAGGGGGACATCCCCCCCAAACCCCCGCGAGGGTCTTTCCCAAAGCGGGGAAAATGAAAGAGAAATATTTTGTGTCTCACGCTGGACGGCCCCGACCGGCTCTGCAGGAGAGGGGCTGCACCCCACACACCCCTTAAACCTCATACACCACCCCGGGCACCCCACACACCCCTTAAACCTCATACACCACCCCGGGCACCCCATTTACCCCTTAAATCCCAAAAACCACCCCGGGCACCCCATACACCCCTTAAACCCCAAACACTACCTCGGGCACCCCATACAACCTCGAGACCTCCAAAAACCACCCCAGGCACCCCATACAACCCTGAGACCCCCAAAAACCACCCCGGGCACCCCATACACCCCTTAAACCCCAAACACTACCTCGGGCACCCCATACAACCTCGAGACCTCCAAAAACCACCCCAGGCACCCCATA